TTACTGTTTTGGTGTTAGTTTAGTATAGTCCGCGGCGCGAAGCACCGCGCGTACCTTCAATTTACATGCGCAATAAGTTACACGAAGCTTCGGATGTGTTTTCTTCCAGTTTTTGGACCCTCTTCACGACAAATACAAGCATTAAACGCCTGTCAATATATTGGACGGACATGCCGCACGTTTATTAGTTAAAATTATCCGCCACCTTTGCGAAAATAGGGTCTCTCCGTTACAGACGAGGAATGTGTTGCGTGGAACTTACGACGGAGGAACTGAAAAACGTTGGCTCGAGCACGCTGCTCCCTCCAATTAATAAAGCCTCTGAGCCGTCCGCCACATACTGGCTGCTTTAGCTGTTCCACTCCCGCCAGAATTCTTTCCGCGTGCAGGGCGAGGGGGGGACTGTCTACTAAACAACGACAGCACCAACGACCAGAGTGACCACTTTTGAATTCTTTGCATCACGGCTGAGACCAAAAATATAACGAATCCCAAATGTATGTACATGTCACTGGTCTAGGAGATCGTCTACACAGACACGACCATCGTTATTTAAGCATTTCTACTGACTCCATGAGCGAGATTTAAACCACATTTTCCGCTCTTGTGACCTAGATCTGATCAGACGTCACAGAATCCACTGTTTTACAGCTGAAAAACCATCCCCAGGAGTCCTGATTCACATGCCTTCACCATTTTTTTTACCTGCTCACAATGCCTGACGTGGATCTATTCGATTACCTGCGTATCCTACAATTGAACCATCGCGAACACTGATGCCCAGCGTGAACTTCACAACGGGGTATGCACAGAAACGGTGACTCCTGCGTTAATTAGTTTATAATGATAGAAGACTGACGCAGCATGTAACGCCCCTCTCAGACCCACCTGAACTCGATCCTAAACAGAGTCGGGAGGATCGAAGGCAGGATCCGATAAAATCATAGCAGATAATGCTCAAGTAGAAACGGCATCTAAGTATTCTTCAAAAGCAAAATGATTTCATAACTTAACTCCTGCTACCGGCGGTGGCATGCAAAGGCCTCAGTTAGATCCTAGGGCAGGGGTCGGCAAACCCATGGCTCGCGAGCCATTTATGGCTCTTTTGATGATCGCGATGGCTCTTTCAGAAACTTCAAATTTTATGATTTTGGTTACTCTTTAGGGGTTTAAGTAGTGGGTTGTACTCGGATCATTACAATCATCCGGCCAAATCATTTTAAAATATACTATATGGCTCTTTCTCAAATACATTTCCAAATATTTGCTTTCTTGGCTCTCTGAGTTAAAAAGGTTGCCGACCCCTGTCCTAGGGGGATACCGTACAGGAGAAATGGTTTTAAAGGCCCCCCATGCTTACTCAATCTGATTATGTTCATCGGTCCAACATTTTTACCTCCAACTGTTATCTGCACTTCACCTGTCCTGTTGGCTTTAAGGAATAGAAAGTTTTTGCAAAATAATTCACACATTTTCGGTAAGTTATACCTTTGAACATAAATAAAAAGAAATTACGCACACTTGCTTGCTTATGATAAAACTATTCAACCATTGCAACTGTAAATCATGTGAAGTCTTATCAGGTGACTGCTTTTATAGCTTAAGTAAATGCTCGGTTTCTTGTGTCCTGGATACTACGCAGATTTTAATCAACAAAAGTTCTGACAGACGTGCATAAGCTCTCGGGATGGATTTTTCACCCGCAATTTTATCCACTATCATTTGTGTTCCCAATATGCTTTTTATTTGTCCGTTTCTATACCTCAGTCTTCCAAAACTCCCTTCAAAGAGTCAATCACAGATGAATTCCGTCCATACTTTACCTTGATTTTTCAAGCGCCGTCGTGGGATCTAAGATATACCTCTGTTGATAACATATTTGGTTCTTTTACGCCCCATCACTTCCCTCTTATTTCGTGTGCATGTTCGACCGATAAATGCTCACGTGACTATCTTACCTGCATGAACGGTTTCCTGACCGACATTGGAGGCGATCTCCATCCACTCCTGGGAGGCGAAAATGCACACCGCGTCGCTGACTTCGCCCTGCGGTAGGATTTCAGGAAAGGCTTGGGAATGTCTGGTAATCGCTCAACCTACTCTATTTCGTATTCATCGTCCAAGTGGCATCGATAACCACGGTAGGCCGTTGGCGAATAATTGTTCCGCCTGTCAGCGCTATGCCTCCGGATGCAAATGATGTCAGTACGTGGCGAATCCGAGCCCTTCGGGTAGGGTGACCTCCCACTGCTGCTGCTACTGCTTCTGTTGTTGGCGTACTGATGGCGCAGCGGGCTGGCCTTTCCGTCGTGTGTCTTCCTGTGTCCCGCCCGGTTCTCGTCATTTTCATCCGGCTCGTTGTACTGGCAAAGCTTGTGAAGGTGTTTATTCTTTGTCAAAGCCAGGTCGGGGCAGAAACAACGCTCAATGCAGCCCGGATGCCATGAGCTGCCCTGGTTTGGGAGGCGAGTAACGGGCCGTGCAACGTCTGCAAGTGGAGATAACATTTGGGGGGGGAGTGGGGCGTTAATGGGGTTCAGCAAATTGCAACTACTCCGCGATATGAACTTCAAAATAGTAACTCTTTCTTCCTTTAAATGGTTTTTTTATGCGAAACTACCGCGTACCGGTCATCGGTGCATGGGTGGTCGAAATAAAATAAATAAAAGGTCATAAATAACTGTAGAATTATACGGCTGAAGGAAAAAAATGTTAGAAAACTGCGTATATAAACCCATATATTTTTCAGTTAAACTAATTAGATATTACAAAATTGAATTGCAGAAGTGATTTGTATTTGACTTCTAGACAAACGTACAATTCGAACTCATTTAAGAGTAGGGAATTCGTGAACTACAGACGTATCGCGTTGACGCAATAGCGCAATAATTTCAAAATCTGACTAATATAAATAACACATTTGAAAACCTAACGCATAAGTTGATAGCATTTATTGCCTGCTGGATTTTGGATTTCCATGCTCACTATGGACCAGCTTACTTAACCTTAAGGGTTATCGTAAATTGTAACTTTATTTTCAACCGCTTGCACTAGACCGCCAAAGTGGACTTATTTTACGGGATTTGTGAACAGAAGTAAAAGGCCCTCCTTATCCTCTGAGTGCAATTTGAGACTTTTGGGGTACACTTTCAAGCATATTTCCCTTTCGCATTTTTTTCGTAAATCTTTTGCAGCAGCTATTAGCTCTTGCCAACCGATTGTCTTCGGTGCATTATTGTGAATTGTAGGTCTGATTTAACGTCTCTGGAGAAACTATACCCTGGAGCAGGCTTTGGAAGTGAATATTCGCCCTGCATTAGCAAAAATCGGAAAGGCATAAAAAATATCCCAGATTAAGCGGTAATACTGATGTATTTCTACTGGTCCCTCTTCTTTGACTGCCTGCAGTGACTACTTCCGAAATTTGCGGACGCTGGTTAACTTTCATTAGTAGGCTACTGATGTTTTGAGAGAGGTGTGTGTATATTCTTATCATCGAAAAATGAAGATACTTAAGATAAATAAGGCTCTGGTACCTTTGTTCGGCAGCGGTAAGTTATGTAAGCTCTCCCTCCTTAGCCATCACCAACTACAGGATCGTATAAAATGAAAATAGCGGTCATAGGAATCTTGAGGATGGGGCCCCACCGCGAGCAAACAGCGATATGTGTGCAAGAAAACATTAAAAATAATTGAATTTCCGCCAACGTTTTTCTTCTAGGCCTATATAGAGCAACTATCAAGAGAATTATACTTTAAAATAGACAAAAAGCAACTCTTAATAAATAAAAAGAACTAAAGTAACACAAATCATAGAAAAACAACTCTATGCATCTCGTTGTATAAATGTAGCAGTTAAACCACAGCGCATTACTTCCTATAGCTACGAAATAATCAACCAAACCAAGCTATGTATTTACAACCCTGCAGGCTTTACATAACCTATCCTTACCTTTTTTGAACAGCGCATAAAGAATTCTCCAGTTTCCTAATTCTTTTAAAGTACAAACTGTGCTAGTTAGGAATAATCCCAACATCTAGAATCCACCAGAATGACTACTAAACCGACTTCATTATTTAGGGAGTCTGGTAGATTTGCTTAATTTATTTGACTCAGTTGTGAAAAAAGGCCCTCTCTGCTGTGCGGGTTCGACACCCGCCGACGCAACGAGTTTTTTTCACAATTGGGTCAACTAACTTAAGCAAATCTGCCAAGCCCCTAAATAGCTCTAAGATATCTATAGAAGAAAGCCACAACCAAGGCATCAAGTCAAATGGATTGGTGCTCCGCAAGGTCGAGCACTAGGATCGATTCACATTCTCACGGTTACAGTACGGCTCAGAATTCGTGCAATATACCGACATTTGCGGAAGATCGATACCCACTGGCTTATCGGCATTGAGTAAAGATGTAATACTCATGTAGCATATACTCAAATCATTTCAGTCACGATAGAACGCTGACCTTTTAACGAGCTTCTTTCTGACCGCTAACAAAAGGTACGCAGTGTAAAGGATGGCTACTTAAGAAGTATACATTTAAATCATTGATTTTGACAGCCTTTATAAATTAAAATATATTTTATAGAAAGGTGCGCGAAAAATTCTTTCTTGTACTTATGTGGTAGCAAATAACTCCTTCTTTTCGTGCATGTTTTCCCTAAAATATATTTGAATTTATGAAGGCATTGAAAATCAATGATAAAAATGCGTACTTTTAAGTAGCCATTTTTACAGTACATATATTTTGTTATCCAAATTATCTGATTTTAGAAAATCTCAGTTTCCGGGGCGTAATCTCGGCGAAGCAATTACTTCCAGGTCTAAAAATAACAAAATAGAACTGAAAGATGCGATAATTCCCATCAGAGGATTCAGAAGTGTAGTTGGCGGGCGTAAGTAGGCTTTCGATAAATTCTCGTCGGGCCAGTACATTGCTATGGTAACGAGGTGCAAGTTTAAACGTGTTCGTCTTTTCGTACAAGTGAGTCGTGGGAATAGGGGGGAGTTTGGTGGAGCCAGTCTAGGGGCGGGGGGGCCTTAGCGGCATGCACTCGTCCGCGCTCTGTTTGTCTCCCTCTCCTCCCCCCTCTTTCTCCCCCCCTAGACCGGCCCCACCAAACCCTGCCTTCTCTTATCGACCCTCCTCCCTACTCACACGTCTCACTGGTATGAGAAGACGAACCCATAATCTTTACAACAGGCCCCACCAAATCCCGCCTTCTCTTATCGACCCCTCCCCCTATTCCCACGACTAACTTGTACGAGAAGATGAACACATAATCTTTACAACAAGAACCTGGCACACGCATATTTTCTTCTATTCGTGAACACGTTTTAACTTGTAGCCCGTCCGCATACACATGTACTGGCCCAACGAAAATTTATCGGAACCCTACACACGCTCGCCACTTACTCTTCTGAGAACAGAAAGAGCTTAATTCTGATCTCACCGTACGCCTTTTGTCCAAAATACTCTCCCCTGTGATCGAAAGCTGTTGTAGAGGCTTTATCACTACAAATATACAAAACGTCTAAGTAAATGCGC